TCTTCCTCCCCTCCTTTAAAAGTTTTTATCCTAAAAGGAAGAAGAGTTTTTACCCCCTCACTCTCTTCTCCTTTTCCTCAAACTTTGTCAATCCAAATAAAGTGTAAGTGAATTAGAATTGATTTCCAGAATTGTTTTTATTTAAAATTACTTCTTTTTTTTTATGATAAAAGGTCCTCAAATCAACTTTTGTGTATAAAAATTAATTTTTTAAAATGATTTCAAAGGCATACTTTTTACCTTAATTTTATATATTGAAAAATATTAATTTATTTAAATACCAACTCCAAAATTTTAACTTGATATATAAATTAACACTTTATTAGCGGTGCATCCAATGTTAGCTGATCTACAGAATTACTTCTTTTTCTTTTTGTTACAATAACGCCGTTTTCATGCATGGAGGAAAATGATTTGAGTTAATTGATGCTGAAATAGTAGGTAAACAGTAAGTAAGAGCATCCAATGGCTACATTGACGGTTCAATGGTAGCTTATGAAATGAAACAAATGATGTGCCAACATTTGGATGGTCAATATTACTGGCCATCTATCTCTACCTGTTCACTTTTCTAGTTTTGTTTACTAGCTAAACTTTTAAGAGTAGTTCAAGTGGGTCCGAACCCCTTTTTTTTTTATTCCAACCATGGTATAAAGAACCTTTTTAGTTTGTTATTCATGGGACACAAATGGTCCAATTCAATCTCTTAAAAATCTTCAGCTTTTAATTTGAGAAGAAAGAATAAAGATGGGATTCGCAAACATTGGAGAGGTGTCTAAATAATTTTGTTCCAAAATGCCGATATCGAATATGATGACGATAACATATGAAGTTAGGACCAAATTAAAACACCTGATAGGTCAAAAACCTAATTGAATCACACAAAAATTTGAGACCACCAATGTATTTATTCTAAAAGGTTTTTTTGTTCTTTTATATATATCTATGAATTTTTTGTCTTTAATTGTAAAACAGAAATCATTAAATGAAGAGATAACTGTTAATATTAGAGACGCACTCAATCAGTAATTTATATTATACAATTTAATATAATTTAAATTATACAACATATTTTGTATCTATATTTTACAAATATTTTTGGTAAATGAGTGAAAACTCTTACATACGATTGATAAATGCTTCCATCCACAGATTGTTTGTGGCCCAACAAAGAAAATGAATTCAATGGGATTACGGCCATTAGAATTAACGAACTCAAAAGGTACAAAAGCACCATGTATCATTTGGTTAACAGTTGGTGGTAAGAAGACAGTCCAAGCTTTACATAATTACACAACACTAGCGTACCATTTGTGGTACCACAATTGGGGGAGTCAGTCCATCCTTTCTCCATTTCTCCACATTCCTCTCCCAACCTTCAAAAATAAATCAACCACAAATCATCAATATCATCAAAATTTCACACCATATATATTTCATGGTTACTACCAGCTCATTTCACTTCAC